GCATCCGGCACTGGAAGGTGTCAATGGGGAAAATGGGATAAAAAATGGGAATTAGGGACGTGGAATTCCCAAAAATCCCCGGGATTTGGGGTTCCGCACCGGCATCCGGCACTGGAAGGTGTCAATGGGAAAAACGGGATAAAAATGGGAATTAAGGATACGGAATTCCCAAAAATTCCCGGGATTTTGGGCTCCACACCGGCATCCGGCACTGGGAAAAACCCGGAAAAATGGGAATTAGGGACATGGGAGTGATCCCAGATCATGGAATTGTGGAATTCCCAAAGTTCCCGGAGCGGCTCCTGAAATAAATATAACTATAAACGGCCCCTCTAACGACCCCGCTAACGAGCCGGCTCTAATGACCCTGCTAACGAGCCGGCGCTAATGACCCCGGTAACGAGCCCGGCTCTAATGACCCCGCTAATGAGCCCGGCTCTAATGAACCCGGCTCTAATGACCCCACTAACGAGCCCGGCTCTAATGACCCCGCTAACGAGCCCGTCTCTAACGACCCCGCTAACGAGCCTGGCTCTAATGACCCTGCTAACGAGCCGGCGCTAATGACCCCGGTAACGAGCCCGGCGCTAATGACCCCGCTAACGAGCCGGCTCTAATGACCCCGGTAACGAGCCCGGCTCTAACGACCCCACTAACGAGCCGGCTCTAATGACCCCACTAACGAGCCTGGCTCTAACGACCCCGCTAACGAGCCGGCTCTAACGACCCCGCTAACGAGCCAGCTGTAACGACCCCACTAACGAGCCGGCTCTAATGACCCCGCTAACGAGCCTGGCTCTAATGACCCCGCTAACGAGCCTGGCTCTAATGACCCCGATAACGAGCCCGGTTCTAATGACCCCGCTAATGAGCCAGCTGTAACGACCCCACTAACGAGCCGGCTCTAATGACCCCGCTAAGGAGCCCGGTTCTAATGACCCCGATAACGAGCCCGGCTCTAATGACCCCGCTAATGAGCCAGCTGTAACGACCCCACTAACGAGCCGGCTCTAATGACCCTGCTAACGAGCCGGCTCTAATGAACCCGGCTCTAATGACCCCGCTAACGAGCCCGGCTCTAATGACCCCGCTAATGAGCCCGGCTCTAATGACCCGCTAACGAGCCTGGTTCTAATGACCCCACTAACGAGCCGGCTCTAATGACCCCGGCTCTAATGACCCCGCTAACAAGCCGGCTCTAATGACCCCGCTAACGAGCTGGCTCTAATGACCCCGGCTCTAATGACCCTGCTAAAGAGCCCGGCTCTAATGACCCCGCTAACGAGCCGGCTCTAACAACCCCCCTAAGGAGCCCGGCTCTAATGACCCCGGTAAGGAGCCCGGCTCTAATGACCCCGGTAACGAGCCCGGCTCTAATGACCCCGCTAACGAACCCAGCTGTAATGACCCTGCTAACGAGCCCGGCTGTAACGACCCCGCTAATGAGCCAGCTGTAACAACCCCACTAACGAGCCGGCTCTAATGACCCTGCTAACGAGCCCGGCTCTAATGACCCCGGCTCTAATGACCCCGCTAAGGAGCCGGCTCTAATGACCCCGCTAATGAGCCAGCTGTAACGACCCCACTAACGAGCTGGCTCTAATGACCCCGCTAAGGAGCCGGCTCTAATGAACCCGGCTCTAATGACCCCGCTAACGAGCCCGGCTCTAATGACCCCGCTAATGACCCCGGTTCTAATGACCCCGCTAACGAGCCAGCTCTAATGACCCCGCTAACGAGCCCGGCTCTAATGACCCCGCTAACGAGCCTGGCGCTAATGACCCCGCTAAGGAGCCTGGCTCTAATGACCCCACTAACGGCTCTAATGACCCCGCTAAGGAGCCCGGCTCTAATGACCCTGGCGCTAATGCCCCGCTAACGAGGCGGCGCTAACGAGCTGCGTACCCAGCGCGCGCGGCAGGAGGCTGCGCACGAACTGGGCGTGGTCGCCCACGTGCAGCACGCTGTAGACGCTGGAGTTCATCAGCTCCTCCTGCCCGAAGCCCAGGTACCCGCGCACGTTCTCCGACACGAACACGATGCGGCCCTCGCGGTTCACCACGAAGAAAAATCCATCCAGGGCCTGGAAAAGGGAAAAACGGGAAAAAATTCCAAGGTTTTAGCTCAAATGTACTGAAAACTGGGAAAAATTCCAAGGTTTTAGTCCAATTATCCCGACACGTTCTCCGACACGAACACGATGCGGCCCTCGTGGTTCACCACGAAGAAAAAACCATCCAGGGCCTGGAAAAGGGAAAAATGGGAAAAAATTCCAGGGTTTTAGCTGAAATATCCCCAAAATGGCAAAGAATTCCAAGGTTTTAGCCCAATTATCCCACACGTTCTCCGACACGAACACGATGCGGCCCTCGCGGTTCACCACGAAGAAAAAACCATCCAGGGCCTGGGAAAGGGAAAAATGGGGAAAAATTCCAGGGTTTTAGCCTAAATGTACTGAAAATTGGGAAAAATTCCAAGGTTTTATCTCAAATATCCGGTGACGTTCTCCGACACGAACGCGATGCGGCCCTCGCGGTTCACTACGAAGAAAAAACCATCCAGGGCCTGGGAAAAGGGAAAAACGGGAAAAAATTCCAAGGTTTTAGCCGAAATATCCCCAAAATTAGGAAAAATTCCGGAGATTTTAGCCCAAATAGACTGAAAATCAGGAAAAATCCTGAGGTTTTAGCCCAATTATCCCGACACCTTCTCCAACGTGAACGCAACCCGGCCCTCGCAGTTCACCACCAAGAAAAACCCATCCAGAGCCTGGGGCGGGAAAAATGGGAAAAAATTCCAGGAATTTCATCCCAACTATTCCAAAAATGGGGAAAAGTCAGGAAAAAACCCAAGGTTTTAGCCAAAATATCTCCAAAATGAGACCAAAATGGGAAGAAAATCCAAGGTTTGATCTCAACTGTCATGAAAATGGGAAAGAATTCCAAGGTTTTATCTCAACTATCCCCAAAATGGGAAAGAATTCCAAGGTTTTATCTTAAGTATCATGAAATTTGGAAACAATTCCAAGATTTTAGCCCAAATAACACCAAAATGGGAAAGAACTCCAAGGTTTTATCCCAAATATCAGTGACGTTGATCCGGCCCTCACGGTTCACCACAAAGAAAAACCCATCCAGGGACACAAACAGGAAAAAATTCCAAAGTTTTATCCTAAATATCCCCAAAATGGGGAAAAACCAGAAAGAAAATCCAAGGTTTTATCGCAAATAGCCTGAAAACGGGGAAAAAATGGAAAGAAACTCCAAGGTTTGATCTCATATATCACAAAAATGGGAAAGAATTCCGAGGTTTTAGCCCAATTATCCCGACACGTTCTCCAACACGAACACGACCCAGCCCTCGTGGTTCACCACCAAAAAAAACTGTCCTGGGCCTGGAGTGGGAAACACGGGAAAAAATTCCAGGGTTTTGGCCCAAAGATTCCTGATCCTGATCCTGATCCCAATCCTGATCCTGATCCTAGAACTAATCCTGATCCTGATCTAAAACTAATCCTGATCCTGATCTAAAACTAATCCTGATCCTGATCCCAGTCCTGATCCTAAAACGGATCCTGATCCAGATCCCAACCCCGATCCTAGTCCTGATCCTGATCCTAATCCTGATCCTAATCCTGATCCTGATCCCGATCCTAATCCTGATCCTGATCCCAATCCTCATCCTAATCCTAAAACTAATCCTGATCTTGACCCCAATCCTGATCCTAAAATGAATCCTGATCCTGGGCCTAAAACGGATCCTGATCCTGATCCTAAACCTCCTGATCCTGATCCTGAACCCAATCCTGATCCCAATCCTGATCCTAAACCTGATCCTGATCCTTATCCTAAAACTGATCCTGGTCCTGATCCTAATCCTAATCCCAAAAGTAATCCTAATCCTGATCCTGATACTGATCCTAATCCTAAACCTAATAGTAAAACTAATCCTGATCCTAATGCTGATCCCAATCCTAATCCTGATCCTGATCCCAATCCTGATCCTAATCCTGATCCCAATCCTAATCCTAAAACGAATCCTGATCCCAATCCTGATCTCGATCCCGATCCGGATCCTGACGCCGCCTCTCCCAATCCCAATCCCGATCCCGTTCCCGATCCTGATCCCAATCCTAATCCCAATCCCAACCCCAATCCCAATCCCAATCTGGATCCTGACCCTGCCTCTCCCCAACCCGATCCCGATCCCAATCCCAATCCCAATCCCAATCCCAATCCCAATCCCAATCCCAATCCCAATCCAGATCCCGATCCCGATCCCGATCCGGATCCTGACCCCGCCTCTCCCGACCCCGATCCGGATCCGGACCCCGACCCTGCCTCTCCCTGACCCAATCCCGATCCCAATCCCCATCCCAATCCCGATCCCAATCCCGATCTGGATCCTCCACCTCTCCCGATCCGGATCCGGATCCAGACCCCGACCCCGCCTCTCCCTGACCCAATCCCAATCCCAATCCCAATCCCAATCCCAATCCCAATCCCGATCCGGACCCCGACCCCGCCTCTCCCCGACCCCGATCCGGATCCGGATCCGGACCCCGACCCCGCCTCTCCCTGACCCAATCCCAATCCCAATCCCAATCCCAATCCCAATCCCAATCCCGATCCGGATCCTGACCCCGCCTCTCCCGACCCCGATCTGGATCCGGATCCGGACCCCGACCCTGCGTCTCCCTGACCCAATCCTGATCCCAATCCCAATCCAGATCCTGACCCCGCCTCTCCCGACCCCGATCCAGATCCGGATCCCGATCCGGACCCCGCCTCTCCCTGACCCAATCCTGATCCCAATCCCAATCCCAATCCCAATCCCAATCCCAATCCCGATCCGGATCCTGACCCCGCCTCTCCTGACCCGATCTGGATCCCAATCCCGACCCCGATCCGGATCCCAATCCCGACCCCGACCCCGCCTCTCCCGACCCGATCCCGGATTTTGGGATTTTTCCCACCTCGAGCAGGAGCGGCCCCAGCGCCTCCTTCTCGATGACGCCCTGGCTGCTGGAGGAGACGTCGGATTTCTGCACCTCGTCATCGGCCGCGCTCTCTGCCAGGGCGGAATTCCCCAAGTTCAACCCCAAATCCGCGGGAAAACATTCACCCATCTCCCCCCTCATTTTCCGGCTTTTTCTCCCAAAATTTCCAGATTTTTCCCCATTTTTTTCTTAATTTTCAACTAAATTTTCCCTTAGATTTCCCCAAAATTTCCCTGATTTTTCCTGAATTTTTCCCAATTTTCCCCTGAATTTTCCCCTAAATTTTCCCAAAATTTTCCCAAGATTTTCCTAACTCATCCCAATTTTTCCCTGTTTACACATTTTTTCCCAAATTTCCCCCAAATTTCCCCCAAATTTCCCCCGAATTTTCCCCAAAACTTTCCCCAAATTTCCCCTGAATTCTTCCCTAATTTTTTTCCTGAATTTTCCCCTAAATTTTCCCAACTTTTCCCACTTTCCCCCCAAATTTTCCGGATTTTTCCCCAAATTTTCCAGATTTTTCCTGACTTTTTTTCCCTATTTTCCCCTGAATTCTCCCCAAATTTTCTCCAAATTTTTACCAAACTTCCCCCATTTCCCCCCCAATTTTCCCCATTTTACCCCTGAATTTTCCCCAAATTTTCTCCAAATTTTTACCAAACTTCCCCCATTTCCCCCCCAATTTTCCCCATTTTACCCCTGAATTTTCCCTAAATTTTCTCCAAATTCTTACCAAACTTCCCCCATTTTCTCCTGATTTTCCCCAAATTTCCCCCTGAATTTTCTCCAAATTTCTCCAATTACCAAACTTCCCCCAATTTTCCCCCATTTTCCCCCCAATTTTCCCCCCAAATTTTCCTGAAATATTCCCCAAATTTTTACCAAACTTCCCTGTTTTCCCCCGATTTTCCCCAAATTTTCTCCAAATTTTTACCAAACTTCCCCCATTTTTCCCTGATTTCCCTCCCAATTTTGCCCCAATTTTCCCCTCATTTTTCCCCAAATTTCCCCTCATTTTTCCCCAAATTTCCCCCCATTTTTCCCCCAATTTACCCCTGAATTTTCTCCAAGTTTTCTCCAAATTTTTAACAAATTTCCCCCGGATTTTCCCCTGGATTTTCCCCCAACTTTCCCCCAAATTTTCTCCGAATTGTTGCCAAACTCCCCCCATTTTCCCCCCAATTTCCCCCCGATTTTCCCCCAATTTTCCCTCCAATTTTCCCCTATTTTTCTCCAAATTATTACCAAACTCCCCTCATTTTCCCGTTGATTTTCCCCCATTTACCCCCAATTTATCCCCGATTTTCCCCAAATTTTTACCAAACTCCCCCCATTTTCCCCCTGATTTTCCCCCAATTTTGACCTGATTTTCCTCCAAATTCTTGCCAAATTTCCCCCAATATTTCCCCGATTTCCCCCAATTTACCCTTGAATTTTCCCCAAATTTTCCCCAAATTTCCCCCAATTCTCCCCCCCCATTTTCCCCCAGATTTTCCCCTATTTTTCTCCAAATTATTACCAAACTCCCCTCATTTTCCCCTCGATTTTCCCCCATTTTCCCCCCAATTTATCCCCAATCATTCTTTGAATTTTTACCAAACTTCCCCTGATTTTCCCGCATTTTCCCCCTAATTTATCCCCGATTTCCCCCGAATTTTTACCAAACTTCCCCAATTTTCCCCCCGATTTTCCCCCAATTTATCCCCAATTTTCCCCCAAATTTTTACCAAACTCCCCCAATTTTCCCCCCGATTTTACCCCAATTTATCCCCGATTTTCACCAAACTTCCCCAATTTTCCCCCCAATTTATCCCCGATTTCCCCCCGAATTTTCACCAAACTCCCCCCAAATTTCCCCCAATTTTGGGGGCTCCTCACCCTGCTCGAGCCGTTTGATCTGCTGGATCTGATCCACGGTTTTCTTCAGGGCGAGGCCGTGCTCGGCTTTGCCCAGCGAGTCCAACTCGCCCGGGTGCGCCGACAGCAGCTCGGCCAGCTCGGCCAGGTAGCGCCGCTCCTGCTCGCGCCGCCGCTTCTCCGCGCTGCCGAAGCCAAATTCCAAATATTCCCAACTTTTCCCAACAGTTTCCCAAAGTTCTCCCATTTTTTCCCCATTTTTTACCATTTTTTCCTGATTTTTTACCATTTTTCCCCCATTTTTTCCCATTTTTTTTGGATTTTTTCAAAATTTTTTCCCCGATTTTTGCCCCTGCTCGCACGCCTGCTTCTCCGCAGTGTCAAACCAAAATATTCCCAAATTTTCCCAAACTTTCCCCAAGTTTTTCCCAATTTTTTCCCATTTCTTTCTGATTTTTTCACTAATTTTTCCCCGATTTATCGCCCCTGCTCGCGCCGCCGCTTCTCCGCGCTGCCGAAGCCAAATTCCAAATATTCCCAATATTTTCCCAACAGTTTCCCAAAGTTCTCCCATTTTTTCCCCATTTTTTCCCCAATTTTTCCCATTTTTTTCGGATTTTTTCACTATTTTTCCCCCAATTTATCGCTCCTGCTCGCGCCGCCGCTTCTCCGCGCTGCCAAAGCCAAAGTCCAAAGATTCCCAACTTTTCCCAATATTTTCCCTTTTTTTACCCCATTTTTTACCATTTTTTCCTGATTTTTTACCATTTTTTCCGATTTTTTCACGATTTTTCCCCGATTTTTGCCCCTGCACGCACCGCCGCTTCTCCGCAGTGTCAAACAAAATATTCCCAAATTTCCCAAATTTCCCAAAACTTTCCCCAAGTTGTTCCCAAATTTTTCCCAAATTTTCCCTGGTTTTTTACTATTTTTCCCAAAATTTGCCCCAATTTTTCGCTCCTGCTCGCGCCGCCACTTCTCTGCGCTGCCAAAACAAAATTCCCAAATTTTCCCAATTTTTCCCCAAATATTCCCACATTTTCCCTGCATTTTCCCCGAATTTTCCCCAGATTTTTCCTGAGTTGTCCGCAAATTTTTCAGGATTTTCCCCAATTTTTTCCCAAATTAATCCCAAATTTTCCCCGAATTTATTCCCAATTTTTTCCTGAATTTTCCCCAAATTTCTCCTGATTTTTTCCCCATTTTTTCCCAAATTTATCCCAAATTATTCCCACATTTCCCCTGCGTTTTCCCCCATTTCTTCGCAAATTTTTCTGGATTTTCCCCAATTTTTACCAAATTTTTCATGCACTTTTTTCATGTTTTTTCCTAAATTTTCCCTGAATTTTGCAAATTTTTCAGTTTTTTCCCAAATTTTCCCCTATTTTTTCCCAAATTTCCCCGAATTTTCCCCCAATTTTTTCCCAAATTCTCCTCCAAATTTTTCCTGCACTTTTCCCATGTTTTATCCCAAATTTTCCCTGAATTTTCCCTGACTTTTTCCAAATTTTCCCCCATTTTTTCACAAATTTCTTCAGATTTTCCCCAATGTTTACCAAATTTTTCTCACATTTCCCCCCCATTTTTTCCTGTTTTTTTTCCCAAATTTTCCCCCACTTTTCCCAATTTTTTCCTAAATTTTCCTCGTATTTTCCCTGACTTTTTCCCAAGTTTTCAATTTTTTCCCAAATTTATCCCAAATTTTCCCCCAATTTTCTCTTAATTTTTCCCCCATTTTGTCTCAATTTTTCCCCCAATTTTTCCCCAATTTTCCCTGCATTTTTCCTGAATTTTCCCCCATTTTTTTCCCCAAAATTTCCCCGATTTTTTCCCAGATTTTTTCCTAAATTTCTCCTGAATTTTTCCAAATTTTTCCTTTATTTTGCCCATATTTTCCCTGGTTTATTCCCCATTTTTTCCCAAATTTGCCCCAATTTTCCCCAAATTTTCCAATTTTTTCCCAAATTTATCCCAAATTATTCCCACATTTCCCCTGCATTTTCTCCCATTTTTTCACAAATTTCTCCAGATTTTCCCCACATTTTCCCCAATTTTTTCCTGGATTTTTTCCCAAATTTTTCCTTCACTTTTCTCGTATTTTTTCCTAAATTTTCCCTGAATTTGTCAATTTTTTCATTTTATTTCCCAAATTTTCCCCTATTTTTTCCTGAATTTTCCCTGATTTTTTCCCAAATTTTCCTCCATTTTTTCCCCAATTTTCCCCAATTTCCCCCAATTTTGTCCCAAATTTTCCCCCAATTTTGTCCCAAATTTATCCCAAATTTCCCCCAATTTTCTCCTGATTTTTTCCCCCACTTTTTCTCAAATTTTCCCCAAATTTCCCCCCATTTTCCCCAAATTTTTCCTGAATTTTTCCCCAAATTTCTCCTGAATTTTTCCCAAGTTTTCCTCAATTTTCCCCCAATTTCCCCCAAAATTTTCCCCAATTTCCCCCCAAATTTTTCCTGCACTTTTCCCAAATATTTTCCTAAATTTTCCCTGACTTTTTCCAAATTTTTCAATTTTTCCCGAATTTATCCCAAATTTTCCCCATTTCCCCCCAATTTTCTCCTGATTTTTTCCCCATATTTTCCCAATTTTCCCCCCATTTTTTCCTGAATTTTTCCCAAATTTTTCCCCAACTTTCCCCAGATTTTTTCCCAAATTTTCCCCAATTTTTTCCCAAATTTTCCCTGATTTTTCCCCAATTTTCCCCCAATTCTTCCCAATTTTTTCCCAAATTTTCCCCCCAACTTTTCCCAATTTTCCCCCAATTTCCCCCCAATTTTTCCCCCATTTTTTCCCGAATTTTCCCCAATTT